TTCGTGTGAATGCATGCACTCTATGGCAGTGTTTGTGAACAAAGCAGACATTTTGGTGTTGGAAGCGGTCTATAGATTGCATGAATGGATCATCTCTTGAGGTGTTTGTATTGATGAGTGACGCGACACACGACCGGATCCCACCACAAGACAGTCCAATCACTTCTGTATGTGGCGTCGAGTCGAGTGAAATGCTGGAGAAGAAGGGCGTGAGTCCTCTTCAGTGCCAAAGTGGGGGCGCGAGTGGTGTGAGCGGTGGTGGCGGCGGAGGACCCGCTTCTGGCGCCGCGACAGCCGTCAACGACACGAACAATGGGTTGGAGCCGAAGAGGTGCAGCGGTTCCAAGGGGTCGACGAGTGTGTCGTCCAACAGTGCTTCCAGTAGTGGTCCCAACACTCCCAGCGACCCAATGATGGCCCCCTTGACTGCCACACAAGACTTTGTGATAATTAAAAGTGAGGATCAAATGCCTCCTTCTGTGGCCGCAAATCATTGCGATTCCAAAAGTAAACTCAATGTCGAGACACAACTCAGGAGTAATCACATGATTGACACGAAGCCAAACATGAATACATTGAATGCAAGTGTGAATACGTGTGGCAATAGAGACAACGCAGGCATGAAATGCAGAGATAATATCATGTCTTGTGGTGCGAACGGTGTCCTCAACGGACCACTTAATGGTCCCCTCAATGGCATGAATTGTATGGACAATACCTCTCCGCACAACCTCCTCAATGACGGTAACGACCACTCATTCATTCATTGTCTGCTTCATTGCATTCAATTAGAGCCCAAACGGTGGCCAACAGTCACTGACTGTCGGCCACCACTAAACCTATTGACAGTGTGTGCAAAAGCTGAGTGCAAACCCGGTCTGACCACTGAATCCAGCATTTGATAGATTTGTATAATTTCGTCAAACTATACGAGTAGTGGTCTCTGATTATGAGCTGTTGTGCTATCAATGCTATCAATGCTTACAAACAACAGAAAGTGAGAAAAACTTGTATTCGTTTCACTGGTTCTATAGTATTGTCGTTTTGACTGCTTTTCTCAAATGATTTATTTTAAAGTTTACTCAACTTCTACTCCAATCCTATCCAATATTAATACTAATACTCTCCAAACAGCTATCATTATGAGATGAAAGTTACCAATAGTTTCCCATTTATAGTCATTTAGAGCGTCTACTGGTATTTATTTTAATATTCAAATTGTTGTAACCAAAAGCAGTGAATATTATTGTTAAAGATATAAAAAATAATTCACTTGTCTTTCATAATGAATCACATTTTGATATTTTGTATGATTTGTACATACAGTATATCTTAAGAAATAGTTCGCGTAAGCGATCATATCCTGTATTGCACTAAATCTTATGACAACTACAATATAATCACTGTTTACGTAATTGTTATTGAATGAACCTTGCTGCTGTTATTTGAATATTGAGCATATCGTAGAATTAGTGATTGAATTGAATTGATTCTCACTTAATAGTGTTTTTGTTTGTTTAACTTGTAAATCATTGGTTACCGTGTAATCAGTGATGTATTCAACAGATTATAACAATTGCTATATTAGTGTATCATATATTTAACAAAAGATGTTTAGTATGGACTAATGGCTTATCAATTGCTATACATTTGGTTTTGTATCAATTATTCGTTCAAATATTGACACAAACAATGAGAAAGCGATTTATGCGTCAATTAATTACTAATTGCCATTTATTTGGACTATAATGATATGAATATTTAAATATTGAGCCCTAATTGTGATAACAAAACCAGTGTATGGTTAGCGCACAAACTTCACAATTGGCATACGTTTGGCTAAAAATAAATTGTGTTTATTAGGCCTTATTTGTTGAAAAATATACTCTAATATTGATGCAGAGTTACTGAACAGTGCAGTGATGTTTAGTGTATTGTTAAGTAGGCGTAGAGTAAGTTACCCCTAAATTGATGGTAACTTACACTTGCATTGAGGTAACACAACATGTCTCACATTCTTATGTATAACAAATAGATGTTTAATATAATATTACGTGATTAAAGTGTGCTCTCTCTCATCAGAATGCCTTCAAAATGAGACACTTGAGTAATGACCTTGCTCACTGCTCATTGCTCTATGCATACACTGCACACTGGTTTGGCTATTGATTGGCTGCTCAGCCCTATACATAGCATTCTCTATACAGGGCTATGCCTGTAGAGCGAGTGCACAACAATTTGAGAGGTGACCCCTCTTAACGATATGAGAGGGAGAGAGAGGCTGTGCTCCCGTCTCCCTCAGTGAACATTCTCAGCTCTCTCTCTCTCTCTCTCTCTCTCTCATGCTCTCTCTCTCTCAGATGATGGACTCGTTTTGAACGCATTGCTCCCTTTCGGCATTTGTGCGCTATTATGAACGCACTTATACTCTACTGTATATGCAATGCATTGAATGCACTCCACTATAACTACTGTATATTGTCTTGAAAACAAGTTTTTATCAACTTTTCAGAACTAAAATGAATTTCAAACTCGAGAGAAAAAATTTATTTTTTATTCATTGAGATTGAGATACCTTTCAAATACTTATCATAAGATTTATGGAGAATATTCTAAAGGCGTGTTTGAGTTTGACTTTAAAGTCATCTCTAAATAACTAATAATTGAATGAAATTTTATTCAAAAAATTACTTTTGATATGAAAGTAGTGTTTTGATAATTAAAAGTTTTGTCGCAATAATCATAATGCAATAAATTAATGGATCAAAACTTTTGTTTGTGTATTGATAGATAAGTTAACAAGTTTTCCAAATGAGTTTGGAATCCGAGTGCCAGTGCCAACCGGTGGTAACCTATCAGTGCCAGGTATTAACCATTGATGACACTTGCCTCACATGCATTTCCTAACCACTGATCCCATGTTCAGGTGATTTACCGCCGTTTCCCCTAATGTCACAACCAATGAACAGCCGGATGAGACCGCGCGGACCCTGTGGTCCACCCCCAGCCCAGGGACTACGTATGCCTATGAATGCCCTTCACTCGCAACCGCACAATAATTTGCATCAAATGGTGGCCAACAATCAGAATATGGCACCCAATCAGAAATCTTCGATGACAATGGAGTCCCAGTATATGCAACAACAGAGTCAGATATTCGTGTTCAACACACAACTGGCCAACGATGCGGCCGAGGCTGTGGACAACGGCTCGTTCCCGTCCATCATTGAGTACCACTGCGGCAATCCCGACACCAAACGGCTTCTCGAGAAGTTCCCACTGAAGGCGCCCCTCAATCGGAACAACTGTTCGCCCGTTTGGCTCAATAACATGTCTCAAGTAAAACAGGGCGGAAGGGGTCTTAAGCCCAATATGTCGACCGCACAGCCTATGCACCCGTCACTCATGAAGAACTCGTTCGGTCAGCCCCGAGAGGCACATCCAGTTTCATGCACCGGTCCCTGCAATATGCAAAACTCATCGGGTGTTACATCAGGTCCTGGTCCTGGAGGTGGACTTCCTAACAATTGGTCAAACAATATGAACCCAATGTGTTCTAATCCTAATGCCAGCCCTAACTGGTCGGCACCACAACAGCCAATGTTTGCTCAAAATTCTGAAATGAATTCAAATAACGTATTCACTAACTCTCCAGTCGGTGCCAATGGGCCCAACGGTAGGGGTTGTGTGCCATTTGGAGCCAATAATTTCCCACCAAATCCTCAAATGTTTAACAACTCACCGAATCCAGGGATGGGAGGCCCACCACAACAGTCCGGTATTTACTGATCACTTTTCGTGATTGTCAACTTTGTATTGAAAGCAATGTTAATTTGATTGTTTGCATAGAAATACCGGACGAGTCGTTGACTCTCGAGCAGAGACAGAACCGGGAGAAGAAGTTGGCGTTAATCCGGTCGATGCAACAGCAACTGTGCCCTGAAATGATGGAACCATCGCCTATGGGGCATATGATACGAATGCCGGCCCCCAATCAGCCTATGAACGCACCAGACTTTATGAATGACCCGAACAATATGTATGCCATGTCAGAGTCAGACCCGATGGCCAATACTGACCCCCACATGAATAACATGACTCCGTCCAGAATGATAGCCAATCCTAACAACAATACTCAGACCCTTTCATCAATGCCTCCCACTTCGGGAACGACACCTCTTGAGTGGCAAAAAGCCAACTTTATGGACGATCGGAGGCGTAAACCCCCAGCCAGTGGACAGGGAGTCCACAACACTAATAATAATTCAGTGCCAATTTCGCATCAGTCGCCACTATCCCAGCCCTCATCAACGCTTAATAGTCCCAACCCTTGCATATCACAGAGTCCTGGCAGTCGGATCCCTCCCCCGCCTTACAATCAAGGCATCCGTTCCCACTCGAGTCCACACCCGGCCTCTCCAGTGACCGGATCGCTGCCATTGTCTTCACCGCGAATGCAATCCCCTGTCGACGGTTCCGGACAACAGTTCACTTCTGGAGGCCAGTCACGAGTGAGCCATACGAGTCCAGGTCCGGCCACTCCCTCTGCCGATAGTAACAGTAGTATGTCTGGAGCGGGAGTCCATTGGAAACAAATGACTGTGTCTTCAGCGCAGAACACCATACCGTCCACAACCTCTTCATCGGCCGTCAAAAACAGCGGTCGATCCCAAGCGTCGACTAATGCTCCGAATATTCGGGCAAACACTCCGTCCAGTATAGCTCCCAGTTCTAGCCCTTCGAGTGTTAAAAAGCTGCCAAATCTGATGACCCAAAGCCAGAGGGCAATGGGTCCCGACTGTTCCGATCTACTCATCAATTCGATGCCCAACTCTGGTGTCGACCCCAATCGACCGCATCATCTAAACGACGTGCCATTAATGGGACCGACAGTTGCGACCAATTGTTCGTCGCCTTTCATTTGCAATAAACCAGAAGCGGCTCTAATGCCGGTGCCATCCCCTCAACAAATCCAATACTTAAACACATTTGAAGGACAAGAGCTTACAATTCAGAAACAGCCCAACACTAGCTTAAGAGATACTGACCTCATATCCCATGCCTCTGATCTCGACATTGGCTTCAATAATGAGTTCACTAATAGTTGTCAACCCTTTGTCTCGAATGAACGGTTGCCTAACTTCCCGATAATGGATGGCATGAACCCTAGGTTTGCATCGAATGCCCAGAATATGTCTGGAAATCAGTTCGATTTGAACCCGAGGTTTATGACGGCCGACAATAACCAAAGATTTGGGGGTCAGGTCTTTGATGGACAGACACCTCGAATGCTAAACTCACACGAAAGTCAATTCAGACCCCAGAATATGTTATGTATGCCTTACGGACAGATGGATAACAATCTAATGCGGTTTAACTCTCCCTGTGATAACATTATGCCCCCCAGAGTTAGGGGGCCCTCCGATATGGTGTCCAATCGATTTGCACATCACTCTAACGATAACATGCAATCACCGCAACACTTCAACCCCTCCATGTCTGGCATGAATAGTAGCGAACAAATGAATTTAATGCCGTTCCCCGGCAACCAGTCATCCGGTGCCCAATGTATGAGTGCTGTCAATAGTTTCAACACTCAGATGGAGAGCGGGTTTAGTTCATCGCCTCTGCAGAACCTCCAGAAGATGACCCCTCCCTATGATATCGGACCCCCGAGCAAAGTGGACAGAATGATATCCAACGGCGCTCTAACGCACAGCCATAACCCCAATGGTTCTATGAGTTCAGTGTCACAAACGCAGCGAACAAACAATTTTGATCCCATCTCTTCCATCCAATCCATGGCAGCGATGGGCGAACCAAATGTTAACAATCCTATGAATGGGCCCAACATTATGACCGGCCCTTCAATGAACATGTCATCCATTCAAATGGCAGCTAACGGTCCGCCACCAGGGCCTCCAAATATGGTTAACTTTCACACATCCATGTCGTCAATGCAGGGAATCCAACAGAATATGAGTGGAGAGACTATTAACGGCGGAATACAGGGTCAGTACCCTATGGGCCAAATGAACCCTAACATGACTGGAGGCCCCCAAACGGTCAACAATACATACGTGAACGCAACTATGTCTATACAACAGCTCAACATCCAGAACCTCCCAAACCATAACTTCAACCCCAACTTAGACCCCCCGCCCAACATGAATGTGCCACAAAACCTACCCATTAGTGGTGGACCCCCACCAGGGCCCCCCATGCAAATGATGCCAACGAATACATCAGCTAAAATGGGTTCCAATTTTGGGCCGCGAATGGGTGGGCACACCAGTGGACCTAACTTTGCGGGTCAGCAAATGAATGCCAACCCGCGGGGTATGAATCCAATGGCATTTCAACAACAAAACCCCCAAATGATGCGCTGTTCGTACAACTCGCCCAACATTCAGATCAAACCGGACGCCCCCAACACTATCCAATACCTGCCACCGAGACAACAGAACCCCAATGTGGGTGTCGGGCCGGGTGGACCGGGAGGTGGGGGTAATCGGCCGCCGTCGCTAATGTTTCTACAGCGGTGCGAACCCCCGCTCACAAACCTGGGCAACAAACTGCCCACTCATAACCTCCAGTACTTCCCAAACAATAGCGCCAATAACATGAACTTCACACGACCTCCTAATATGAACAATATGAACATGTACAATTAGGTGCAATGAAGTGTACAGCTAGTGTACTATTCTATACATTTCATGTACAGTACAATTAGTGTACAATTGGTGTACATTTGACTTAATATAAGAATTTTTTGTGACATAATTTTGCATTAGATTTATACTGAATATTGATTCGAGACTTGAAATTATCTAATAATTTGTTTCTCTAATTGTATTCAAACAGAATTGGGTTCATATTGTATTCAAAGTGGACTCAACTCTAACTTATAGTAACATAACATCTAAATACTGAATATTGATTCGAGACTTGAAATTATCTAATAATTTGTTTCTCTAATTGTATTCAAACAGAATTGGGTTCATATTGTATTCAAAGTGGACTCAACTCTAACTTATAGTAACATAACATCTACAGTGCTGCCAACCATTAAATTGCTTTATTTTGATTGGCCCTGACTAGGCTCATGCGCAAACGAAACCTTGTACTGCCAAAAGTTTTAAAAGTTTTTTGTAAATTATTTTTTAAGCTGTAAAATTAGCAAAAAATATGTGTTTGCCATGAAATTCAATACAAATGACAGCCATTTGTGATGAATTGATTGCAAAATAAATTAAACACTCATTTGGATGTGATTTGAGGTTCAATTCAAACCCAATTACAACCAATTTTGCAATTTTTGACACAAATTAGTGACTCGTTGTGTGTGTATTGACTGACAGATCGCTTACAGACAAGACATCAAACAATTACTACGACTTCACACACGCCGGCACTCAATACGGGTTTGTGTCCATCACCTGACCATTGATTCATTGATACCATTGATAATTACCATTACTGTTGACATTCAGGACAACCTATACTCCCGTCCCCACAACCCCTTATGCAATGACTGCACAAATGTATGGCACGTCGGTGCGAAGTCCTTACGAAACCGGTGTCGAGGAATGGCTACTCGAAGAGCACAACGATATGATCGCTGACAACCATGACATCGACGATATGTCACAGATGTGAGTGTTTTAAATGCATTAAATGGTTGTGGCGTTGAGTGTGAGGACTGACGGTGTGTCGGATGTGTTGATTTGATGACAGGTTTGGTCGCGAAGTGGGCGCAGACGTAGAGGCGGACACTCGGGCGATGGTCGAGAAGATGACAGCCGTGTGGCTGCAGATGGGACTCAACACGACTGAAATGGCGGACCGCATGAAAGAGATGCGCGAAATCCACGCGACGGCCAATCGGAACGCTCTGAAGACGGAGTCGTCGGCACTCCAGAGACTCATTGAATACAATGATATGAAACTGATTAAAATCAATGGCATTCTCGCGGATCTGACGCTCCCGTCGTTTACGGCGCCCACAGATGTGTCACTTAAACAAATCGGAAGAATACTGGTTTACAAACACAACGAATTGGAGGCTCTGAAGAGGGAACGACTGAACCAATTGACTAAAGTGCGCAAAGAACTCGAGGAATGGTATGGGAAGTGCTACACATCTGATGTTCAAAGAGACAAATTCCAGGTGTTTTTGGATTCGACCGAATTTACAGAAGAACTGCTCGAATGTCACGAAAACGAATTGCGAAGACTTAGGACATACTTCCAGGAGTGCGAAGTGATGTTCGATAAGTTGGAGGAATGGCATAACCATTGGGACAGATATAAAGAGCTCGAGAACAAAGTTAATGATCCCAACAAAGGCAGCGCTCTTTGGGCTGAAAAACGCGAGAAAAACGTTATTAAGAAAAAGTTACCAAAAATTGAAAACATTTTGAAGAAATTCAGTAAAGACCGACACCAACAGAATTCTGAATACTTCCAAGTGTTTGGTATTCCTGTGAAGCAGTACTTAGAGAACCAAAAGATGGAATACCAGGACATGAAGGAGAATGAGAAGAAAGTGAAACAACGACTCAAACATATGGATGAGAATGGACTCACAAAAGGCCCCAAATCGACGCCTGTCTGTGGGATTGTTGTCCGCAAGACTCCCGTTAAGAGAGCCTTCACTCCCCTCTCGGAAGGACCTAACAGTGACTCCAATAGCAAAGTCCGCCGAATGGGCGCCCCTTTGACGCCATCGCGTATTAATAATGACATAAACCGTCACAACAATAGACCAGTTGTTGCGCAAAAACCCGTTCCCAGAGCCCGCGCCCGCAATCTCGAGAAACAGATGAACCAAATGTTGGAAAACAATGTCGAGACCTCTGTCCTCAGCATCAATGAAGACCAGTTTCTGGTAAGTCCGCATTGAACCTAATGTGTGAATAATGGTCTCAAAGTTGTCATCTTATCGTTTAGGCGCCGCTCACAGAGAGGGATAACGCGAACTCCACTTTCATTAGTTGTTCGCAGAGACCACTAACGCCTGACCGCAGGAATGTCACCAAAAGGCGTGAATTCAAAGACAAGCCAATGACTCGCCGGATGTCTCGCAGTTGCAACGACTTGTCCGAAGCCATCACCAAAAAGATGCAAATAAGTAATACCAGACATTTGGCGACTGCCAGAAGCACACCCTCATCACCACAACCTAAGAGCTCGTATGGCATAACTCCGAGTCGATTACCGTGTCCCGTCAATCACGACCGCCTCACCCCTCCCGTGCCCTCCAAACGCTTTATCAACGAATTTATTAACGATTTCCCATTCATTGCGTCCAATCCGTCGACATCGAGATTGACTACAACTATAACACGAGTTTTGGCCGAAAATGATTCAAATGGTATGCAAATACGTTTAATTTATTGGTTTGAAATTTTAATAAACAATAAGATTATGTATGTTTTTAATTGAAAGCGGTTTTAATTTGTGGCAAAATTGGTCCTTAAGTTATAATTGAATGATTGAAACATTTCTAAAAAACAAATTCAATGTTTTATAAGCATATCTTTACGGCTTTGCCAGATTAATATGCTATTAGACTATAGTGAAAAACAAATAAAATAAGTTTACTTACGGTTAAAAAAAGAATTGAAAAAACGCTATTAATAGCCTGTTATTCAAATTAAGATTTAAGTTTTATATATGAGTGGATATCATACGGGATATTTTACGGCGTTCAATAGCCTTACTTTAAGCTCCATTTGTTTGGATATATCCCCGGCGTCGTAGAACTGGGCCATAGGCTCGCGGGCGTAGAAATACTGTTTGTAGAGGTCGTCGAACCAGACTTCGATGACTCGCTTATAGTTCGTGAGAACTAACGGCCCCTTTCGCTGGTTAGCCATTGAGCCGAACGTGTAGGGAATGAGTGGGCGGTATATGTGTCCCACGTGAGAACAGGGCACCCATTGTAGGTGACCCCCGCACTGCCACTGAAACTTGCTGTCGAGCTTCAAGAAAGGCGGGGTCTGATTGTCGGTTATCAAATGTGTTAGTATCATGGCCATTATGTGATCACTATCGTGACCATCGGTCTGTATGGGGTGAGGGTTTACGGCGCGAAGTGTTGATCGTTTCGCGAATACACGGGTCTGTACTCGAAGTGATTGGAATCGATGCCATCAATGATAAGACAGGTCATCGTTTTGCTGTCGTTCTATTAATAATTTTATATACAAAACATATGAGAATTAATGCAAATTAATATTATTTTAATTTCAATGCCCGTCTCATTGACCGTAACTATTCGTTGCTTAAAGTAGTATCCACTCGCGAGCTGTCAAAGAGATTATTATTATTAATATATTATCATATCATTAATACAATAAGTGGTATGTATGGTATCCACTGACTAGTCCTAATACCCTCGGCTTCATTAACATGAGTGGATATCATACGGGATATTATACGGCGTTAAGACAGAGAGCTGTCGTCACGTCTGGTCTGTGTCTGTGTCTGTAGTTACTTATTTATCAAATAAATTATAATTTTTTACCTGAGTTAAAATTAAATATAAACAAAGTTTGTAAAAGAGTAATTATTATTTTCATTTGATCATTTAATTTATTAAATTATTTTAATAGATTCTCCAAAAATAAAGAGATCATATCAAAGGATAAGCAATGAAATCAGACTTTTGGTTAATAGGAAAATGAGTAGAGGATTGAAACCAAAAGAGATTTGTGAACATTTGGAGATAAAGAATCGACAATCAGTTGAAATGATTTATAAGAAATTTGTAAGAACTGGGATTCAAACGTCAACCAAAGGTTTGTTTAATTTTATTTATTAATTTAGTATCATTCTAGTATCGTTCTAATATTAATTTATTAGTTTTTAAACTAATTGTTTAATTTTTTGTATTACAGGATTACATAAACGAATTACAATTCTCAATGCAAATCATAAGAAACAACTATATAAATGGATTGATGAGGACTGTGAGATAACACAGCAAGATTTGGCTGACAAATTGTTGGAAACCTTTCCAGAAATTAGAACAATTTCACGACAAACTATTGGAGCGACGCTAAAAATGATCAGAATTTCACGGAAACGGACGACATGTGTTCCGGTAGCTAGGAATTCTGAAAGAGTTCTTCAATTGCGACACGAATATGCGATGAAATACCAGAAATTCAGAGACAATAATGAAATCAATTTATTTGTTGACGAGTACGGAATTAAAGTGTCGACTCGAACAAACTTTGGCTATTCATTGATCGGAAGAAAAGCATACTCAAAACTGGATGCTTTGCGAACACCAAACCATTCTGTTTGTGCAACAATGTCAAAAGATGGTTTGTTACAATTTAGTGGTATTCATAAACAAATTGGATTTTAATCTGAGCTGGACCTTACATTGCATGTTCGCCCACTTGTCTAAGAACACCAAACCATTCTGTTTGTGCAACAATGTCAAAAGATGGTTTGTTACAACTTAGTGGTATTCATAAACAAATTGGATTTTAATCTGAGCTGGACCTTACATTGCATGTTCGCCCACTTGTCTATTCCCATTTCATAAAACCATCTTAACTCTTTATTTTAAAATTATCTTAAATTCAGTCCGATGTGGGCCCATACACTTTCATAGGGGAAGCCTACTTACAGGGATAAGTTTGATCGGTATGAGACTTAAATTTTTAAGATTAGAGACGTTTTTAAGGTGCAGCTCAGATTAAATGTGTTTCATAAACCAGGTGAGCAATTACTTAAAATGTGAGACTCAGCTAAGACTTAAGTCGGCACTATGAATACCACTGTTATTTATTGTTCTAGTACTGTTCTAGTATTTTTTGAGAATTATTCTCACCAAACTAATTATTTGATTTTTATATTACAGGTTTGTTACACTTCATGATAACAAAATTCTCTTTTAATCGCAACTATTTCTCGGCTTATTTGAGTTCACTTTTTGCACACGAGTTGGTTTCTCCATATTCAGCCCGTTTGTATTATTACCTGTTGCGTAGAAAGGTATTTCATAACCTTCAAGCTCTTGAGTAATAGAGCTTACCAGTGTTAGGGCACAAGGACTCGGGTATGTCTCCATTTTTAAATCCAATAGAGGAACTCTTTAAGTATGTATTTCTAGTATCATTCTAGTATCGTTCTAGTATTATTATAGTATTGATAGATTTTAACATTAATTTTCTATTTCAGTCAATGGAAATTTTATATTAAGCGATGCAAATCGAAATCTGTGGTTGAATTGTGGAGAAATATTGCTATCTGTTCCACAAAAGTATTACCAATTCATTGTCTCCATTATGTTAACCACATGCATGAATTTCTCGAACCAAGTATTAAAAAACTCGAAATTTTAAGTGAAGTCCCGAAACCGCATCCGGTAAATATTTAACATAATCTTGTGATATTTTTTTGTATCTTAATTGTTTACGTTTTTATCCCAGAATTTAGTGGCGATCTGTAGCTGATACGTTACTTATTGTCTAATTTAGTAGTTTATGAGTTACTAATAGCGAAACCAAATATGAAGGTCATGAAGACAATTGTCCTTAGTGTATGAATTACTCAGTTGTGTACAGATCAGGCGTGCCGTTTACTCCTTTACAAGGAATCACTAGTGATATGTCGTCCCAACAAGCGATCAATGAATTGATTCGAGAAATGCAAACAATTAGATATGATTTGCAATCTCTTAAGGATTCAAACAATGATTTTAAATCCTCAATGAAAAGGAATGAAAACGAGAAGTGAAATGAATTAAATTCACTTAATTTAATACTAATTACAATACAATTACCGGTAATAACGAGTCAATTGATAAGAATTCATACAAATATAACCGCAAAATAGACTGTGTTTTAATAATTCATATAATTATTTCTTATGTAAAGTTAAATATAAATGTTAAACTATTGTAATTATATTACTTTAAATATTATTATACTGTTTAATTAAACACAAATATTGCAATGTTTTAAATGAATGATAAAAATAAACTTTAAATAATTAAAGAGATAATGAATGCATTGATTCAGACATCAGCGATGATAACAAGTATTGCTTGACTCATATCGTGGATCAGATTGCAGTCAATGCCAGATTTCGGACAATTCGGTGACAATCTGTTCGTAAAGATTGACGTCAAGGATGGCAGGAATGGATGCGATAATCGCGGAACTGATGAGCATTTTGTTGGCACCCATTCTCTCCACTTCCAGCTCTTCACTCGTGGCGTTCAACACATGAGACATACGTTTAGTCTTCAGTTTCAACGCATTTGTGGCAATCATCTGACGGCATATGTAATACAAGTCTATAAAACACGACATAATCGCACGAAATGTCGACAAATGTTTCTGAAAGTGAAGAATATTATGGTTCAACACTTCCAGCAGTGTCTGCGTATATGTCGATTGAATTGGGGAAGTCAAACATCAAGTTCTCAAAGTTTTGGGCCCCAAGGCTAGCCACGTCTATAAACTCCCTTATCAATATTGGTGAGAGAGCCGCCTCCAGAAACTAAGCGCAGTAGCAATCCTATGAGAAGACTGGTACAAGTTTGCTGGCGATGAGGACACACGTGACGGTCCGCAGATGCATCTGTTTCTTCATAGTCTTCAATTGGCTGCCACTCCAGACACTCGTCACTCTTGTGGTGATGTGTGGTCTCGAAGTACTTTCTTCGTATCGCAAACCAAATTGACTAACAGTTTGTCCAACAACTCGATGGCCAGTAGGCGCACAATCTCCTGGCACTCGTGCCGATTCTTGTCGTCGGCGTCGTTGGGCCTGTAGTTCACGACAGTCTCCAAGTCTTTGACGGCAAGTTTGAATCGGTTGAGTGCTATCTGAGCCACCGCTCGTCTGTAGTAGCCTTTGATGTAACTCTTGTCCAATTCAATGGCTTTGGAGGCGTCGCCCAACGCGTAGCCGAAGAACTCCTTCTTGAGGTAAGCGATGGATCGGTTGCCATAGAGCTGGGCATAACTTTTATTATTAATGAGAAAATGTTTGAAACAAATATAAATTAAAATTGAGTCCATTTTTTAATATTAAATAAACTATTTATTCATTGATGTCTGTGTCTGTGTCTGGTCTGCACTGCTGTCGAGATTGTCTTAACGCCGTATAATATCCCGTATGATATCCATTCATGTTAATGAAGCCGAGGGTATTAGGACTAGTCAGTGGATACCATACATACCACTTATTGTATTAATGATATGATAATAGATTAATAATAATAATCTCTTTGACAGCTCGCGAGTGGATACTAATTTATGCAACGAATAGTTACGGTCAATGAGACGGGCATTGAAATTAAAATAATATTAATTGGCATTAATTCTCATATGTTTTGTATATAAAATTATTAATAGAACGACAGCAATACGATGACATGTCTTATCATTGATGGCATCGATTTCAATCACTTCGAGTACAGACCTGTGTATTCGCGAAACGATCAACACTTTCGCGGCATTTGGGAGTGGGGTATGTCTGGCTACCAGTGCTATCACTAGTGTATTACCGGTACTATGATTGTGTAAACTAT